TTGACCGTCGCGCGTCACTGCTTTTGTTTTGGTTGTCTATGGTCTTGAATGTCAGATTCAGAATTCGAATAGTTTTTTCAAATACTTGTAAAAATAGGAGTCAAATGACCATCTAATTAAATGTTATACAACAAATAGGGTAACACAAAAAAACTGTAGGAACTAGGTAGTTACCTATTTGATGTTTTTTACATTTTCACATCAGAAAAATTGCTAAATTTTTTTTTCTTTTACTTTCCATTAAATGGAACTAATTATTTGTCCATTTTTTCCGTGACGGCGGACCAGTTAAGATTATGAAATTAATATCAGATAAACAATTTGATTAAACCACAACTACCCTCATTCCAGGAGCGCGACCCGCTGGATGAGTACAACCAGACGTTCGTGATCTCGGAGGCGGCTCACTGGGACAGCCAGCAGCAGTTCAAGAAGACCAAGCCCATCGCCATAAAGGAGACCAGCATCGGAGAAGGATGGGTGCGCGTGGAGCTTGCCTGGGCTGTGAGAGTCTGGCTAGAAGGCCGGGAGACCACGCACACGCTCCATGTGGCCTGCAGGACTTGCCAGGTAGGTTCACATAAAAAGACCAAGCCTATCAATAAAGAGACCAGCATCGGAGAAGGCTGGGTGCGCGTGGAACTAGCCTGGGCTGTGAGGGTCTGGCTAGAAGGCCGGGAGACCACGCACACGCTCCATGTGGCCTGCAGGACTTGCCAGGTAGGTTCACATAAAAAGACCAAGCCTATCATTAAAGAAACCAGCATCGGAGAAGGCTGGGTGCGCGTGGAACTAACCTGGGCTGTCAGGGTCTGTCTGGAAGGCCAGGAGACCACGCACACGCTACATGTGGCCTGCAGGACTTGCCAGGTAGGTGCACATAAAAAGACCAAACCTATCAACAAGTAGACCAGTATTGGAGAAGGTTGGGTGCGCATGGAACTAGCCTGGGCTGTGAGGGTCTGGCTAGAAGGCCGGGAGACCACGCACACGCTCCATGTGGCCTGCAGGACTTGCCAGGTAGGTTCACATAAAAAGACCAAGCATATCAACAAAGAGACCAGCATTGGAGAAGGCTGGGTGCGCATGGAACTAGCCTGAGCCGTGAGGGTCTGGCTAGAAGGTCGGGAGACGACGCACACGCTCCATGTGGCCTATAGGACTTGCTAGGTAGGTCCATACAAGAAGACCTAGCCTATCATGATAGGCTTCAAGTAGACCACTTTAGACCGTTAGACGTTGCAATGGCAAGGGTTAGGTTCGCGTGGAATTGGCCTAAACCGTGAGGGTTGGGAGACCACGAATACGCTGCACGTGGCCATCGCCTGCAGAACTTACCAGGTAGAACTTCAAAACTCAAGAAGACCAAGGCCTAATGGCTAGCAGTTAATTCTGTATTTATGGTTTATCCTGTCAAATATTCGATTCGTAGTCTCCCAATTTTTGTGTAACGAAAATAGGCTTTAAAACAATAAAGACATTCTAAGCTCTATTCATAAATTCTGTGGTCTTTGTTACAGCTACGCCGAGCGCCCATCTCCTTCCACAAGAAGCACCGGCCATTCCTAGTCCTCTATACCAAGTACGCCGGCAAGCGGCGCCGGGGCAGAGCCCTAGAGTGCGGAGCCACCACCAGCGAGTGTTGCCGGGAGCACCTCTACGTCAGCTTCAAGGACCTCGGCTGGGACGACTGGATTATCAGGCCTGCTGGCTACCACGCCTACTTCTGCAAGGGGACCTGCGCCCCCATATCCGCTGTGACTATGGCGGATAACAATTACCACCACAATATTATTAGGGTGAGCATTGCAAGATATCAATTTTTATAGTTCTAGTACGTAACACGTTGACTGTACGTTGGTCAACAGGGTCAAATATCTACAATGGGATTGCCTAAGTTGAGAATGTTTAAGTGAGGTGGAATTATGTCTCTTTGCCAGTGGCGGATTTATAGATTTGCCACTTGCGATGATGCACATGCACCATCTCACACTAATATAATAACTGCATTAACTAATAGACACAAGAAGAGGAGTCTGTTACGTACAAAACTAGGTCGATACAATAGACTGAACTGGTCGCAGAGACAGTGTTAGAATTAGAAATTCTAGGGAATCAGGACAGCTGCTCAATACATTTCAAATTGAACTGCTCTTAAGAGCTTGAAGACTTAAACGCCCTTTAATATCTAAGACTGTTCCTTATAATCCTTAAAATTGTACCTATATTTGTCGACATTACTAACAACCTCCTCTCTCCCCAGAAATACTTCTACTCCGTGTCCAACGAGCGGCGGATAGAGTTCAACCCGTGCTGCGCTCCAACCACCTTCAGCTCGCTACAACTGCTATACGTGGACTCCAACAACACGGTCACGCAGAAAACTCTGCCCAATATGGTGGTGGAGACGTGTGGGTGCATGTAGCACAAGTGTATTGACAATAGCTGTCTAAAGAGCATGATCAGGAGATCTTGAAGGATCTTGGAGGTGTGACGCTATGTGTAGCACAAGTGAATCGACAGTCTAAAGAGTATACTCTTGTAGACGTGACTCTGTGTGTAGCTAGTGAATGAACAATAATCTGAAGGACTTATGATAAGCTTCATCATCATCGTGAAGCTGACGTCATGCATCCGTCTCTTTGTCATCAGCCTTCGTCTTTCGTTGGATATAGGACTCTTCATCTGCAAGATATCTCTGTTATTGTTGGATATAGGTTTTCTCCAACAGATGCACTGAAGTGTAATTCTCAGCTCATCCAATTGGTTACGTTCTTCTTTTTCTATTATGAGCCACTAAGATAGGGAATTTCCACCACCACAACTTCTGGCAACGGTTCTATCGATATAACGAGAGAAGCACCTAGTTCTGTCACATGAATTCAACTTAGCACCAATTAAAAGAAGAGACAATATGAGAAAATCGCGGTTGATTATGTTGAGGAAAAACGTGCTTCGCAAAAATATGACGTTTTGGGCACATAAAAGCACACACTGCGAACTTAATCCCTCGTGTGTTAGAAGGAAGAAATATAAATTAGTTAATTTAATAGAACTAAATGAAATGCGGCTATTGGCAATGAGTTTAGAGCTAAGATCATGACATGTTTCAACATTTTCATTGTAACTATATTCATTTGTGTGTAATGTAATGTACGTTGTAATGATTCATGTGAAGTAACTATTTTTAAGTGTGGATGGTGGAAGCTCAATTTATGATAAGGCAATTTTAAATTAGTTCAGGACTTAAATACATTTATACACTTTAGGTCAATTTTCAAATACTAATAAATCTTCTACTTAGCAGATTGAGTTTTAGGACAAGTTTATCACAAAATATTGATTGTTTATAAATGTGTAGTTGTAAAACTATGAACCTTTGTCTCTGAAGGCTGATTTACACGTATTAAATAGTTAAGTAGGTAACTAAATTTTAACTTAATTTTAAGTGACTAAATTGCATGTTATCTCATACTATGTTGCAACTGGCAAGTTGACTAAATTCTCTGTTTACATGCAAATAATCACTTACAATACTAGTTTTAAGACCACTATGTTTACCCAAAATTGTGCAAATAAATATTTGAATTTGAATTTTGAATTTGAATTTAAAATTTAGTTACCTACTACTTAATACGTGTAAATCGGCCTTTACAACCTACTTAATGTGATACGGCAAGTTATTTTAAATAAAATATTACTTAATTATGAACTCTAGATAGATAATGTTGTAATTCGGTATCGAATGACCATTACTTTTAATGAGTTTGCATTTATCTTATTTATATTTGCGCATTAAGTGTTATTTATAAAACTTTTTATATGCATAACGAGAAGAAGAAATATTTTTAACTAGCGGCCGCCCGCGACTTCGTACGCGTGAATCCCGTTTTTCCCGCTAATTCCCGTTCCCGTGGGAATTTCGGGAATCCCTTTCTTAGTGCACCTCTACAGTACCTAAGCTACGTCCCTTCCAAATTTCAAGTGCCTACGTTTAGCCGTTTAGGCTGTGCGTTGATCTGTCAGTCAGTCAGTCAGTTTCTCCTTTTATATATTTAGATTGGAATGCAAAATATGCTCTCAATAAAAGAAATATTGTAGTTTTTATTCCCCATCTGGGAATCGAACTTGAGAGAGTACAATTATCTAACCACTAGATCGCATGGTTTTTTAAATGCGTTGTATTATTTTGAAATAACTTATTTCTTCTTCCCTTAAATATGCATATGGAAATTATTTAAGACATGTTTACGTTAAATAATGTTAAAAGTATGATAAATTATCAAACTAAAATCGATGTTAATTTTATGTTCTTTTAACAATTCGAATACTGTCGTCGAAATTTGTTCCTATAGTTAGCTAATAATTAATTATAGAATAGATTTAATTTGTAAATATTTGTTATGGTTAGACGTGCACTCTGTTCAATCTCATTCAATCGAAATGATATTACTGAATCTGAAAATGAATCGAATAATAAATAATAAGTATGTGATACAAAGCGTTAGTAAATATTTCACAAGCAAATGTACGAAAAAATGTTAGAACCGACTTTTTATCGCCAGATTACATATTTTCATAAGAAAACTACAATGAGAAATGTAACGTAATAAAAGTAATTTCATGAATGTAATTGGCAATTGAAAAATCGGCTCGAAGTCAAAATTAAGCGAAACTTTACAAGATAAGAGAAGACAATGTATGAAAAATTATCGAATAATGTAATGTAATTATGGAAAATGTATCAATAGAGATAGTAACACCAATTATTTACGTAATTGTCAAAGTATAGCAGCGTCGAAAAGTTCGAGACACCCAGAGTAGCCAAAAAATTCGCAAAAAGTCTTTGTTACGATTGAAATAAGGTTGTTGTCAACTTATAGGCCACTTTGAGTGTCACGAATTATTGACGCTGACTGTATCGACATTAAATGGTTGTTTGGTGTTACCATGCTTATTACAATGAATCTTGGCAACACCTGGTGATTCTAGACTACATGGAATTATACAAAATGTACTTAAACATATCTGTTGAAAATCCAGTGCAGTGTCAAGTATTATCAATAGCATGTAAGCTAAAATTGTAAGTGGTGAAATGAAGTACATTAAAAGTAATATATTAATTGTATCTAAGGTATTTTATTTGATCAAATGGCGTGTTTTCCCAAAGTAATGAAAATATAGTCAAATACTTTCCCATATAAATTGTTACAGCAACAGCACAAAATAGATAGTAGACAAAGTGTGCTCGGGCAACGCACACATAGACAACGCTCACGGACACGATATCGTCAATAATCGCAAACCAATCTAAACCAGTGCGAATGCCACCTGCATGAGACACGCGCCTGTGTGCGTATGCAAAATAAAGTACTCATACAGGTGATTGCTTTCTGTTGCTATCTATTTTGTGGCAGCAGTCCATAAAAATAGTATGGAGAAGTGTTTTTTTTTTGTTGAGATTTTGACGTTGGTCCTATACATACTTGTATATGAGCACTTACAATCATCCTCCTTTGAAACAGACAGGGTTTTTACTTAAATCTTAGTAATAAAATAAAACAATAATAAACGACACAACACATTCTTTACTATTCATAAAGCAACAGATCACAACAAAATGCATCTAACGTCAAAATTTCAAATCGCGAAGAGTATACAATAAATAGTTATCACTTAGGCTAGCGGGAACGAGGCGTACCAGACACTATATTCATTGTACACGAGCAATATTGCCGGCAATATTGCGGGAATATATTGACATTCAAAATGGCAGCAATATTGCGTGCAGGGAAACAATATTGACGTAATTTTGCTCATTTACAATGATTTAAGGTTATGCGCTGTATCATACGTAAACAACAACATGATAGGTTTTTTCTTTTATTAAAATAATCCAATCAATTATATTTTTAATTCACGTCAGATGCAGCGCATACTCTTTTATGCATTTGAAGAAATTTACAAGTTGACTGTGCGCATGTTTTGTAGTTTTTAATAAAAATAACTTAGAATAAGTGTACAAGTCAACTCGAAAACTCCATCAAACGCATCTCACCTACAATAATAATTTAATACATAAACTGACCAGAAATAAACTCTCTCTTGTCTTTTGCATAACATTAATAAATAGTTTACATCACAGATTAAAGGAAGCGAGTCCAATCGGAAGCAGAAATCATAAAAAACGCTTAAATAAAATAAAAATAATCGAAATATTTTGAAAGATGGCCAAATTTCTGTCAAAAAAGTGCATACAAAAAGTACTGAGGCAAAATTGGAATAAAATAAATCTATGTCGTCTAAAAACTACGCAGAAAATAATATGCACCGCTACAACAAAAGGACGGATAAAGTCGCGAGATATGTTTAGTTTACAACCTTTGGGGAGGGATGAAAAAAACATGCCAAAAATATGGCACTTCGCTGTAAAAAAAGAAAAACTCCATCAATATGGAGCCACAAATGGCACAAATTTCTGATAAAAACTGCGGATTGGACTAAATAGGCTAACTTGTGACCTAGATTAGAAAATCTTAACCTAACTTACGAACTAGACACTTTTGGAATGGTTTGAAACATCACAAGCCTTATGTTGTAATTTCGCTACGTATACTTTGGAGTTTTATTATTTTAAGGACGTCAAAAAGTTATTTTTCGATACGGATACCTACAAATATCCTTAAAATCTGGTCAAATTATAATTCAACCATCGAAAATACATACAATAAAATTATATAACATGATAAAAATAATAATTATTTCTGATTATTATCTATCACGTTGATTTATTAATTTAAATAATGACTAAATACTTAAGGACATAAAACACATCAAAAATAAGGCACTATACGTCAAGCAATGTACTTCAAGTATTATTGCTCGATTCCTTCTGACTTTAGCGATATTGAAAGTTATACTTTTCATTGGGTCAACTATTTTAAACAGTAAATATTAATTTGTCACTTAATTGGCATAAACAGGTGTAAATTTTGTTATAAAGTACGACATATTAAAATATACAAAGGGCTATTTCAGACTAAACTGTATTCAGAACGTTCTAACAACAATAACCGTTTTTGTAAGAACGAATACATACGTCTTGTACCAGCGTAGACAATATAAGTTCGTATAATTGAACACTCTTATGATAATTTGAGCGTAAAATTACCAGATTTAGAAGTAGTCCGAAATAGTCCTTACATCAAATAGGATTCCACGTCAAAATACAGTTCGATTTGCGACATTATGTGTCTTAGGTAGCACCATAAATAAGGTCGAAAAACTACATATTAAAGACAATCTAAAACCTATGATTAAAAATAAAATATAGACATGATTATGCTATAGTTCATTTCTGAAAGTCATCAAAGTTTGTCACTTGCTTTTGGTCAATATTTTCTAATTTGATTACCTAGTCGACAATGGATCTTACTTGAAGTGAAGATGTATTTACTTATTTCAAAGACAGTACAATGACACTAATCTATTATGCATTTCGTTCCATAAAGTTTTTGAAATAAGATACACTGCCAACTAATCAATTTAATAAAATAACTAAACGCAATCTTGATCAAAATATTTAAATTATTCAGTTAACTTTGGCTTTTCGTCAAAAAAATAAAATAAGTAAAAGTTCTAGTCAGCTGAAGGTCCTAAGATTCCGAAAATATGTCATTCTTTTTTTTTCTTGTTCTTTGACATATGATTATTGAATTACTTCAGATATTTGCTAGTTTTACTGATCAGTATTCTATAAAGTTCATGTCGCTATTGTTTAAATGTCATTTACTTGTAATCAGCCCCTCACTGTTCAATTATTCCTTACTGCTCATTATAACCCTTACTGTTTGTTTTGTTTGTCCTTTACTGCAAGGCTGCTCCGAAACGCTGTTTACGTAGTTTCGTGTCTATCTGTCACCGTCGCTCAAGCTAGCATCTCACTTTATGTCAGTGGGAAGACAATATTCTAAAATTTGAATAACGTTTTCCGGAGTAACCACGCAGTTCATTTGTCCTGTTTTCAATTATCTATTACTCCTCTATTGTCATTTATTGTTAATGTGCTCCTTACTGTTCAATTGTTCCATACTGATTAATTGCCTCTAATTTTTCAATCTCCTTTACTGTTCAATCGTCCTCACTGTTCATATGTCCTTACCGATCATCTAAAATAGAGAAACATGGACCTTAACGCGACATTTTAATATGAATTACATAATGTACTCACAGCTTGACATTTCGGCTGCAGCATTGCAGCCGTGTTACTCTATTTTAGTTGAAATGGAACGCAAAAGTTTAAATCCCTTACTGATCAATCGCTCTTCTCTGTTCAAATGCCTTCTTGTTCAATTGTCCTCACTGTTCATATGCCCTTCCTGTTCAATCGTCCTCACTATTCAAATGCTCTTCCTGTTCAAATGTCCTCTCTATTCATGTCCTTCCTGTTCAATTGTCCTTACTGTTCAAATGTCCTTTCTATTCATGTCCTTCCTGTTCAATTGTCCTGTTCAGTTGTCCCCTGCCACAGTAAGCTTGGCTGTCTCGGAGTCAGTGGGCGGTGCGGGCTGGGCGGCGGGCACGCGGATGACGGCCGGGGCGGGCGTGGTGGGCGGTTCTGGGCGGGTGGCTAGTGTTAGCACGCCCGAGTTCACGTCTTCTATTGCTTTGCGGAGCTGTGGCCAAGATTGTGGTTTTTATTGGTGGTACTGTTTAATAGGTAGGTAAGGCACTGGGTAATTTCAATAAGTTACATAAATTGGACAAGCATAAATGATTCATTGACAAGATTCAAAATGTAGTGAACACTATAAAAACTAGTAAAGGGTTAGAAAAAAGTTTCATCAGGATCTAAATTAACATTTATATTTATGTAACTAACTTGAATTTGACAATTAATTGCCTGTACATAAACAACATCATGGTGCTTTTTTTAACAGTGTTTAACTTACTTTCATTAATTTAATCAATTTTTTTGTAATAAAAACTTCTTTCTTATGATATCTCACCTCTTTCAGCGAAACCACACCTATGAGTCGACCAATAGCTGTCACGTACGCGCGACTCACGCCCAGCGTCGAAAATAGAGAGTGGACCTGAAAATTAATTATAACATATTAGTTTTAGAAAGTCCTCGCATCCTAACAAAACTTATTGATTAGCAGCTAGCTTTGTGACAACCTGTCAATTTAATCACATTGACATATCTAAACAGAGTATGCTCTGTGTAAGGCTTATTGAGCGAATAAAACAGCCCACAACGCGTTGTAGTCGCTGTAAATAAAAGATCTATTCACGAAATTCATATTGTGCTCTCTTATGAAAACGGTCACGACTATACTTGGCCCAAAGACCGTGGCAGGTGGGGCCATAAGTAATTTTTGAAACAGAGATACACACTCGCCAATATTTTATTAATTATTACGTATTATAAACAACGCAATACCTGCCTCTGGATGACATCACCCATAACCAGTGTGAGTGCGAAAGAAAACGTGATATGCACTGTTTTATTATTACACCGCCAGCCACGAGTCTTTGCGCCGAGTATAGGTGTAACTCGTCACGTTCTAGATAAGTTTTTTACATCCACGGGGGGGGAAGAGTGTGGGTGGTTCTACTCTATTCTCGAGGAACCACAAAACTATCTGTCTATCTCTCTCTCTAGAATGTATTACCTTGAGCAAGGAGGTGCGCTCGACGAGCTGGAATGGAGCAGGGTCGATGTGGCAGATGTACAGGCTCTCGTCCTCATAATCGCAGTCGTCCATGCGCTGGTTACACAAAACATTCATAATTATTTATTAACATTGTTCAAGTTATTTCTATACCACACAGCAGAATCGAAGGGACATTAAAGTATCTATTACCATAAATAAAGTAGTGACCACCCTAGTCAGTTGAAACCAAATAATTAGAAAGAAAGAAACATTTATTGCCATCATCTAATTACATCTGATACGTAATGTCATCCGGCAAGGAGCCACGATAAGGTGCGATTGTGGTCAAATACCTACCTTGTTATGCATAAAAAAAAAAAAGAATTAATCGAGGCACTTTTTCGATTTTAGACTATAAGCACATTAGGGTGTCCCTTATTTTTCAAAGTTTTAAATTTGTAACGCATAGGTCTTAGTTTTGTTTTTTTGCCTCTAAAACACTCGGAAATAAATTTTTACCTTATTTGGAGTACGATAACCCGTGCCGACTTGCATCGAAACATGTTGCGCGGCAGTAGCGGTGCGTATTCGCGGTATTTGTCATTTGTTCTCAATTAATCTCGTGATTAACACCTATTGTTTGACATTTAGAAGATGGCTGTGGAATTAAAAAGCAATAAAAAAAGTATTTTCTTAGTCGGGGATGTAAATTTATCAAATAATAGGCACAAAGTTACCGTTAACCGTCAAGTTTTTGCAGTATTTTTAACATATTTTGCGAAGTTAATTAAATATTATTGAAAGCTATAATCTCATCATTCGGGAGTGTATTATATTTTGGGAAAAGCTATAAATCCTACCAGAACCTAACTGTGTAAAAAAACTTGTGTATTTTCACCATGCTTGGAGGGAGTTGCAAGAAAAAATATTTAAAATAAATCAAGATTTATACGCGCCGCGGTGAGGAGGATTTAAAAATAAATAAAATATTTTAACAAAATCAAATAAAACTAAGGCGTCCAGAGTGTTAAGGTGTAGACAAAAAGTTAGTTAAGAAAGTAGAAAGTGCAAGACAAAGAAAATTAAACAAATAAATAAATAAAAAATAGAGCAAATATGTTTCGGAGGTTTATCGTCATCTCTTACTACGCAAGATTCTATACAAACGCAAGGACATCACGACCAGCTTACCAGCTCTGAGGAAAGCCTTAAGGCACTCTTGACATCCACTTCCCAAAAGGTATATGAGAGTGTTGACAAATTGATTTCCAAGGCAGCCCTGAGCAAGTTTAGTCAACATCTTTGGTACTTCATATCAGAAGAAATTGCCGTTTTATCACTCTTTGATGATGAAGGCAATGAACAAACACCGTCAATATTGTCGCAAAAGTACAAAGAGAGAGTATGTATGATTCTGGGAAGAGATACATTCCATCTGAAGAAGGTATGATTATTTCTATGGTAAATAGGACATTGTACTAATTTTTTATCCTGTTTTTAATGAATTGATAATAATACTGCCTTATTTATTGTTGCTGGAAAACCATTGAGTGGTTTTGTTTCTGTCAAGAGTATAAATTTATTTTGTCGATTGAAAATTGATAATAATTTCCCCCTGAGACACATTTCTATATGAGATAAAGATGTTGCCTATTTAAAGGCAAAAAAGTGCTTTCTTTAAGGGTAGTTAATGATACAGCTGAAAGGGCTATAAAGCTTATGCAAGATTTTCATGGTTTGATCACTGCAAAGGAAGAGCAAAAGCTTTTTTTGCTTCGCACAGTGTAGCAAAAATCAGGCCAATATTCAGGAGCATGGAAATCTATATCCAGAATGTAAAAAAGGGTCCCTCAAAAGTAAAATATATTGTCTGATCTGTAATGTTATCTTCTTTTTATAAATATTTTATAAAAATTAAATATTTTAATTGATTTAGCTACATAACGAAAGGGGTAAAACCAGCATTTTTCAAAATCTTCAGAGCTCGGTCGGCACGGGTTAATGTTGACGTAGGAAGATGAAATTTTGTATTTAAGTATGTCTGAGTAGTACGAAAAGAAATAGGGGGTATGCATTTCAATATCTAAAAAAAATTTTTTTTCGGCCATATAAGGGACACCCTAAAGCACATATATCACGACAACCAAAATCGGTAAAAGATTACAATAGATTTTATCGTAATACGGTTTTAGATGCAATACAATCAATGCTATATTTACCTATGTCATGCGCGCTATGATAAAATGTTATCAACGTTTTTAAACGACAAATGTATGGGATTGTCGAACAAAACCGATAAGAATTCCTCATAAACTTTTATTGTGGTGCGCTACAGCTTTTTAGGCCTACAAGTGTCCTTGGGGCAGCAAAGTTCTGAAGTGGAGGCTACGTACCGAAAAGCACAGCGTAAGACGCCCACCCATAAGGTGGACCTACGACTTCACAAAGGCAGCAGGAAGGCGCTGGATGCAGGCCATTGTGGAAATCATTGGGGGAGGCCTATGTTCAGCAGTGGACGTCCTGTGGCTGAAATGATGATGATAATGATGATGATGATGAGGTGTCCTCACCAGGTCTCTCTTGCGCGCCAGATGGAGCATTTTGTCGAAGTCCACCTCCTTGGCCATCTCCAGCTGCTGCCACGCCTTCTGGTCCTCCGGAGACATGTCGCACACGCGCTCGCGAGGCTACGGAACAAGTAACGATGAATCTATCTATATTATAAAAGAAAGTCGTGTTAGTTACTCCACTTATAACTCAAGAACGGCTGAACCGATTTAGCTGAAAATTGTCAGAGAGGTAGTTTAGAGCCAGGAGAAGGACATAGGATACTTTTTGTCCCGTTCGAAATTAAGAAAAAAGTCTGCTTATTTATTGCCATTAAGGCGGAACAAAGTTCGCCGGGTCAGCTAGTTTAATATAAATGTATGATCTATACTAATATTATAAATGCGAAAGTAACTCTGTCTGTCTGTCTCTCTTTCACGCCTAAACCACTGAACCGATCTTGATGAAATTTGGTATAGAGATAGTTCGACTCCCGGAAAAAGACATAGGATAGTTTTTATCCCGGTTTTTGAAACAGGGACGCGCGCGATAATGTTTTCCAGTGACAGACAAAATTTTACGCGGGCGAAGCCGCGGGCGGAAAGTTAGTGGAATAATAAATGGTACGGTGTGGGCTTTGAATCAACGGCCTCAAGAAGGTAGCTAGGAGGGGCGCGATGAAAAACGCGAGAGATCGTGCTTTTTTGCGATTCTTGGGGGAGGTTAAGAAAGGACTACCATCGGCTGAAATGAGGATAATTGTGTAAAGTGTAAAGTGATATTGTCGTGGTCTCCCCTACTCATTTAGCTAGAGTGAGGAGTGTACGCCAAATCTCCCATTTTCTATGGTAAATTAGAAAGGGCCACGCAGACTGTTAGTGGAAACGGAATATCCTAATGATGATAATAGTGAGGGTTGTACTCTTGTAACCAATACTGTTCAGCAGTGGTCAGCAGCAACGTTTTGTGGTTAAAGTGAAGACAATGAAGACTGGGTCTGCGGGTGTCTATGGGTGACGGTAATCACTTACAATCAGGTGATCCGTCTGCTCGTTTGCCTCCTGTCACATAAAAAAGAAAGACAATACAACCCGATTGACTTAATGCACACTTAGCTGAAATGCGACTCTCTCTCGCACTCCGCGTTCGCCCCGTTCGTACCAGAGCGGCGATGTCATCACGTCATGGCTGTCATGGTGCGCAATTAACTCGATCAGGTTGCAGTTCAGTCACATTTGTCGTAAAACCGGACATCTTAAGCAGGCAGGAGTTGCATGCACTCAGGAGGATTTGATGAGTGCTGCTGGCAACGCCACCCTCGTGGCGGAGTTTTGGGCTGCCACTGTGTAGATTTGTTGTCGACACGAAAAGAATGAGTTGCATGAAGAAACGGGAGGTTTTGCTTGCTGGCACTCCTTGGGGAAAGATAGCAGGTAAAGGTAGCAGGGAAGCGCTGGATGCAGGCCGCTACCAATAGATCAACGTGGAAAGCATTAGGGGAGGCCTATGTTCAGCAGTGGACGTCCTATGGCTGAAATGATGATGATGATGATGATGATTCCTTGGGGGGATGCTTGGGACAGCCTTATGGAGGCTTGATGATGACTCACCAGCTGCACTTTCTTGTTGATGGAGGGACTGCGAGGGAGCGGCGTGAGCCCGCCCTCCACGTCTTGTAGCATCGACGACCGCTTGAAGATCGCCTCGAAGGCTGCGCGGATCCTGTAATGATGACATAACCCCATCAGTTAACAACATATCCTACAAGCATAGCGCACTACTGAGTCGGATCCTACAGAATGAAAGCTGCCACGGCATACATATAAAGCCGGTTTTCCACCGCCAAAGAGAAATTAACTAGGAATATCTAGCTCTGTCTTTGTGTACATAAAATGAGATTGCTTTTCCACAGAAAAAAAGTTCGAGAATATCGATATGATAAACGAGCTCATTTTTCCCCGTTTGTCATTTTAGCTCGACTTTTTGTTGATGAAAACAGATGTTTGCATTTTTGTATTGCGAGGTAAACGGAGTTGTTAATGGGCTCGCTCCGTTCGCAGTGGAAAACCCGCTTAAAGTTAGACGTACCAGGCACGCACCATTCCCTCCACCGCTTCACTACTGCAGAAATTTGCTCAGTTTTACGCTTTATGAATGTACATTTAGTAAATGCCGAAAACATGCTAATACTAATGACGCTCTTACCGTGTTCACTACACCAATAAATTGAAATAAAAACAAGTCTGTTAATTTACAAAAAACCTTACACTAATGATCAATGCTTCGCCTAAATAAGTAAATACTTTTACTACTCCTACCAGCTCAAAACATCATCTAAATATAGTATCGTACTGTGTGCTTCTGCTACTAGAATAAGTCTACAGCAACAGTAGTCATTCATAAGTGAGGTACCGTATATCTTGCCGTTGTTTTCTGGCGATGAGGTATGGCCTATACCTGCGTATTAAATTCTGTATTACTGCAAGAACTTATTTTTTAAATACACACATATTATTCACTAGCGGCCGCCCGCGACTTCGTACGCGTGGATCCCGTTTTACCCCCTTAGGGGTGGAATTTCATAAAATCCTTCCTTAGCGGATGCCTACGCCATAACATCTACCTGCATGCCAAATTTCAGCCCGATCCGTCCAGTGGTTTGGGCTGTGCGTTGATAGATCACTATGTCAGTCACCTATATTTTTAGATTTAGATAGATTGGAATAAGTAAGTACTGTTTGCCGCTGACTGTAAGGTATCATCGCGATGGGAACTTTATTTCTGTCGTTTAAGGTGGAAAACCATCTATTCCCAAACTGTTCTGACCTGATCCCCGCTCCAGTTAAAGTGGTGTACACCGAAGATTGAGATGAGGTTAACTTTTGACTGTGTCCAAATAACCACTGTAATAACCTTTGAAATGCAATGCCACATTAAAACTAAGCTTGGTTCTGACCTGGTCTTCGCTCCAGTGACAATCATGTAGACCGACTATTAGCAAAGTTAACTTTGGACTGTTACCAACTAAGGTTTTGGTTCTGTAGCCATAACAAGGTTCAAAAGGCGAAACTAAGCTTGGTTCTGACCTGGTCTCCGCTCCGGTGACGGTGGTGTAGACGGAAGGTTGAGGTGAGGTTAACTTTTGATTGTCTACATAAGGTTTTTGTCCTACACTGTAATAAGGTTCAGAATCCAACAGTACATTTCAAGCTAAGTTCTGACCTGGTCTCCGCTCCGGTGACGGTGGTGTAGACCGAAGGTTGAGGCGAGGTGGGCGTGAGAGCGGCAGGCGAGCCCAGTCCGCGGGATAACGTGAAGGAGTTCGTCTTCTTGAGGATCGACTTCGGACGGAACAGCTGGCCTGGCGCTGGTGAAACAGACGAAATAATGTTTGAACGTGCACTCTTGTAATGTAACCTTTAAAAGCTTTCAAAAATTCATCACCTATATTGTAAATCACCTAAAAAAATTCAACAAATAGAATGTAATCCAACTTATATCCAGAAAATAGCACACCGTCTTGCAACTGGAGCACCTTTTGCAAGGCATGAACAAAAGATCATATTAAAAAAAGAAAAAAAAAAGTAACCTTTCTTTCAATTTGATCTTGATCTCTATTATAATATTGACTCCCTGGTTTGAAGTGTATTTATTTATTTATTTATTTATTTAGGTTCACCATCAACTATTACATCAATATTTGCACAGACACTTTGACAATTCAATAATGTAAATGTATAGCTATATTAAGGTAAACACCGCTTACATAATATTTAATGTTTGCTAATTATTTAAAGGAAAAGAAAAGAAAACAATAAAAAGTCTGTTAATCATTACAATTTACAACTCATTCAAACATGTTCAAAAGTCTCCATGACTGCCTTTCTAAACTGTTGACGGCTATCAAAGAATAAATCCACCGCCACACTGTGCTCATTCAATAACTTGCATAGACGAGGAATTGTGGAGCTCCTACCCAGGACGGTTTTGCGATGGGGGGCACTAAAGGGTGAGATCGGCTTGCGGGGGATCGTGCGTGGTACGCGAAGATTAAATTTACTCAGGAGTTGGCTGCTGTCAACCCTACTTCTCATGATGTTATGGAGAAAAACCAGGTCAAGCAAGTCCCTTCGCTGATTTAGTGTTTGCATTTTGAATTGGTTTGAGATGCTCGTATTGGAGGCTCGTATCCGTAACATTACAGGCTGTAACACTGTAATGGTCGGTTTATATCGCTCACTGATATCCTACGCCCGTCCGTATTCACAAACATTACTATTAGGTCTCACAGTGTGCGTGGTCGCTCATTGTGACACACGAACCAATCACAGAGCTCTATTCAACGCTGTGCGTTTGATACGCTGCTTCACTTAAGCAAGTATCGTTTGTGAATACAGACAAATGCTCCAAATGAGTGAGTACCTTTAGATTTCTATACAGCATATTAGACTTCACCTTATGTTGTAAAATGAACTCTATTACAAGTACATGACGTTTGACAAACACCCATCCTATTAATTTTTTTTTTGCAATATGTCATAACTTAAAATACTGTCAAACTAAAGTAGATCTTATTAGTATCGACCTGAAGATGTGCTTTTGGTCATCACAAAAGCAAATAGCAGCAAATACTTGAATACTGACCTGGTATAAGTCCGCCCTGGTCCTGCGTGGTGAGCGACGAGCCGCGCGTCATGCCCGAACCCGGCACTTGCAGCATGTCGGGCGCCGGCGTCACCTGAAGCAAGTGGTTAGCTTAGTCTGACGTATGTATCTTGATGGAGGTGGACTTAGGCTAATTTGGATCGTAGAAAGAAGACTTGAAGGGGTGAAATAGGTAAGTTAGTTTGGAAAAGAAATCATAATGGCGGGAAAATAACTTCTGTCCTTACTGAAGGCCTCCTCTTCCTGCTGGAAGCGTCCAGCACCTCTTGGATTCCTCTTGCGCATCCTGGAGGCCTACTGTCTCTCCTGGAACGCTCCTCCAGAAGGCCTCTGCCTCACGTGGAACCTGCTTCTTCTGGAGAGACATCCTCGTCTCTTAGCCATATCACATGACTTGCATGATCTCTCACCTCAAACCTAGAAAGCCTCCTACTCTTGAAGACTTGCTGCCCCTCCTGGAGGCCTCCTGTTTCATTGATGGTTTCCTCCATGAACCTGGAAGGCTTCCTGCCCTTTCTGAAGGTCTTCTGCTGGTGCTGGAGGCCTACTGTCTTTCCTGGAGGCCTCCTGCTCTCCTTCTGAAGACTTTCTTCACTTGGAGTCCCCCTGCTTCTCTTGGCTCCCTCTTGGTGGCTTCCTGCCGTCTTTTGCTCCTCCTGGATGTCTCCTGTCACTTTTGAAGGTCTCCTAGCCGTCTTGGCGACCTAATGTCTCTTCTGGAGGCGTTTTCGTCTCTCAGCCGTATTACCGGACCTGCATGAGCTCTCACCTCAAACCTAGAAGGTCTCCTGCCCCTCCTAGAAGCCTCTTCATCCCTCCTCCGGAGCTCGGCCTCCCGCAGCCAGAGCGCGGCGACCTGCAGCCTGCGCTCGCGGCCCACCTGCCGCTCGATCACTTTAACCAGCTCCCAGCGATGGATGGAACCGAGCGGGACCTGGAGAAACCTCACATCGAACCTGGAAGGTCTCTTGCTACTCCTGGAGGCCTTCTGCTGGTCCTGGAAGCCTACTGTCTTTCCTGGAAGCCTCCTGGTCCTTCTGAAGACATCCAGAATCCTCCTGCTTCTCTTGGCGGTCTACTATCTCTCCTGGAAGCTTCCTGACGGCCTCTCGCTCCTCCTGGATGCCTCCTGCCGCTTTTGAAGGTCTCCTACCCATCTTGGCGACTTGTCTCTCCTGGAGGCGTCTTCGTCTTTCTGCTATATCACAAGACCTGCACGAGCTCTTACCTCGAATCTAGAAGGTCTCCTGCCCCTGCTGCAGCTTTTGAAGGTCTCCTACGTGTCTTGGCGACCTAATGTCTCTTCTGGAGGCGTTTTCGTCTCTCAGCCGTATTACCGGACCTGCATGAGCTCTCACCTCAAACCTAGAAGGTCTCCTGCCCCTCCTCGAAGCTTCCTCGTCTCTCTCCTTCTAAAAGCCTCTTCATCCTTGAAAACTGGGTACTTGCAGAAGCTGTGACGTCACTCACCTCAAACCTGGAAGGCCTCCTGCCCCTCCTGGAAGCCTTCTCGTCCCTCCTCCGGAGCTCGGCCTCCCGCAGCCAGAGCGCGGCGACCTGCAGCCTGCGCTCGCGGCCCACCTGCCGCTCGATCACCTTCACCAGCTCCCAGCGGAGGATGGAACCAAGCGAGACCTAAAGTACTCTCACTCTGGAAGGTCTCCTACCTTCCCTGAAAGTCTTCTGCTCGTACTGGAAGTCTACTGTCTTTCCTAAAGGCTTCCTGCTCCTTCTGAAGACTTAGGAGTCCCCTTGCTTCTATTGGCGGTCTCTTATCCCTCCTGGTGGCTTCCCGCCGGCCTCGTGCTCCTCCTGGATGCCTCCAGCCACTTATGAAGGCCTCCTACCCCTCCTGTGCGACTTACAGTCTCTCTTGGAGGCGTCCTTGTTTAGCAGCCATATTACAGGACCTGCAGAAGCTCTTACCTCGAATCTAGAAGGTCTTCTGCCTATTTCTTGCTTTTCCTGGATGCCTGCTGCAGCTTTTGAAGGTCTCCTACGTGTCTTGGCGACCTAATGTCTCTCCTGAAGGCGTCATTCGTCTCTCAGCCATACTGTGGGACCTGCATTAGTTCTCACCTCAAATCTAGGTCTTCTGCCTCTCCTAGAAGCTTCCTCGTCTCTTCCCTCCTAAAACCCTGTTGATCTTTGACAGCTGGGTACCTGCAGGAGCTGTGACGTCACTCACCTCAAACCTTGAAGGTCTCCTGCCCCTCCTGGAAGCCTCCTCGTCCCTCCTCCGGAGCTCGGCCTCCCGCAGCCAGAGCGCGGCGACCTGCAGCCTGCGCTCGCGGCCCACCTGCCGCTCGATCACCTTCACCAGCTCCCAGCGGTGGATGGAGCCGAGGAGTACCATTGATGCTGGACTGTCCACTAAGGGGAAGCTCTTGATTGTCTGCAATTAAGGCATACAAGTCATAAAATGATTTATTAAACCTTGAAGCACCACCGAATCGAGACACTATAGTAAATCAATTGTAATCACGATCTCATGCGACCACTTAGGCCCAGAACACACGGTGAAACGCAACTGCAACGAAACCCTTTTGAAATTATTGATTTGAAACCAGTTTCAACCATTTTCCACACACGCTGCAACCACAATCATTTCGGTTTTCTTTGAGAACAGAAAATGATTTGTCTGTAAAATGAGTTCTTCGAGAGCGAGAGTAGCTTGATAGTGTGGTATTATACAAGCAAGGATACTTTTCCACCTCTAACACAAATGTAATGTTTTTTTGTTCGTCGTCAGCCATTTTGTACAAAAGACGCCAAATCCAATGAATGAAATGCAACGCGAGTTTACTGCACGACAGTTTCAATGCGACTGATTTGCAAAGCGTTTCAAAACGGTTTGAAAAGGTCGCGTCATGTGTGGTCTCTCAACGGAATCTATGGCAGAAACTTAGATGCAACTCAAAAGTAACTAGAAGTTGCAGTTTCGTTGCAATTGCGTTTCACCGTGTGTTCTGGGCCTCAGGGTTCCATGCGTTAAAGCTTTTAAAAATAGATTCTTCGTTGTGGATAAAAAAACACCTTCTAGTTAAACCCTACCACTGCTTCAGGAGAACAATGCTGAAAAAGCAGAACTGACGGCTGATGGGGCAGCAAATTCTGGAGTGGAGGCGGCGTACCAGAAAGCGAAAGGAAGTCCACTCACAAGGTGGACCAACGATCTCTCACCGGTAGTACTGACAGGCCTTTACCGCTTGGTAACGATTTTTACGGAAATCATTCATCATCATTTCAACCATAGGCCTCCCCCAATGATTTCCATTTTGTTCGATTGGTAGCGGCCTGCGTCCAGCACCTTCCTGCTACTTTTATGATGTCGTCGGTACATCTTGTGGGTGGACGTCCCACGCTGCGTTTTTCGGTACGCGGCCTCCAGAACCTTGCTGTCTCTAATAAAATCATTGGGAAGTCCTATGTTCAGCAGTGGACGTCCTATGGCTGAAATGATGATGATGATGATGGCTACCTTGTTCTCCTTGAGAAGGTCCTTTAGCTGCTGGAAGGTCATGCGGTTCCAGATGTACTTCACGTCGCGCACCATGAAGTCTTCCACGCAGATGTCGTACATGCCTAGGAAATTGAAATGTGTAATTAAAGTTATTGCGTTGATTTATTATACGTTCTGTTATAAAGTTTTTAAGTTTCAGATTGTTTTGAGACATTTCCGACTCGTAAGGCCCTTTTCACATGTCCCGGTTGCCGGCTAACCGGCGCCGGGTACCCGGTGGTGAAGTGTATGGGCATGGTACGTAGCTCTCACATGTACCGGCGTAATTAATCCGGCATGCCCATACACTTTTACACAGAGTTTCACTAACCCACTATGATTTTGATTCTGATGCCCTCGAGGTTGATAATTTTATGCATTTTAATGACTAGAAAGAGAACGCTTTTAAACAAATTGAGACTGCAGGAGATTCTAAAGAAAAAGTGTCTCGATATTAGTTATACTACTAGACAGAATCATTACTATGCTCCTTGTATTAATCCACTAGTCGATAGAGACTTAACAGCAGCAGCAAAAAGGAAATAAAACAATAATAAAAAGTAAAGAAAACACAGCCTTTGCATGGGTTGGGTGTATTTATCTCTTATGCGTATGAGACGAAGTGGCCGAGAGGTTAAGGCGTTGGACTGCTAATCCAATGTGCTCTGAACGCGTGGGTTCGAATCCCATCCTCGTCGGACATTTTGTTCCAGGTTCCAATTTCAAACAAGCTTGATTTATTGGAAAATAAGTTAGAATCTGATTTTTAAAACATACCGATTTATTTGGATATGACGTGTTTAAGTGTAAATATTCCATTAATTAAATTATAAGTCATTAAAAATTTTAATTGCAATGTTGACACCGGGATCTAAATTTTTCAATCAGCGATTTGTCGATCCTAAAACTTTATGCTTGCATTAGAATTGAGTGTACTAAAATTGACCAGCGATCGACGAGGATTGAACTAGCGATCTTTCTAGGCCTCAGGGCTAATAGGGCATGGCATAATATGAGTGACCTTTCATTCATTCATTCATTCATTTCATATTCGAACACAAAATCAATAACATGTACAGTCGCGGAATGAAAAGGTTCGTCACCTTAGTGTCGGTTTTCGCTTGCACTAGGTACTGTAAGAGTCAAACTTGCCAACATAACAGTGCAAGAAACATTGCTGCTAACATTTAAATAAATATGACGTTTGCTAACGAATAAGGTTTTGCTTGTTTATTTTTCTATCCCATCAGTGCAATGTTACAAAATGTAGTTTTTTTATTTAATAGATAATGGCAGGTTGAACCAACAAGAAGGTTTTAGTTTATCAATCATAATAATCTTCTTGACAAGTTAAATCATCAAACAACTTTGATCTGAATAATTTTGAACTTTACTGAAGAACAGTTAAAGATTATTTTCTCTAACTCGAGATTATTCTGTAACATAGTTTCAAAAGGTAATATGTGCTCGCGATTCGTTGAAGGAATCAATTTGAAAACTGACGAACCTTTTCATTCCGTGACTGTACCTACGTGAATTTTACTCTCAAATACGTTTCAGTCTTTAAAACATTTTTAATGCAATAAAATGCCTGCAATAGCACACTATACTGCAATATTACATCTAAATAAATAACAAATTCAATTCTTAATGTGCATTCAAATGCATATCGCGATGTGATTTATTACTCGCACCGTAGAGCCTGCACTATTTCTCCGACTACCCACAAGACGAGGTGGCCGAGAGGTTAAGGCGTTGGACTGCTAATCCAATGTGCTCTGCACGCGTGGGTTCGAATCCCATCCTCGTCGGGACATTTTGTTGCTGACAATAGTAATCCTTGAAAAAATGTATGCACTTGAATATTAATTTCAATTTCTCGATCTATGTTTCTTTTGCTGTTTTTTTTTGTTCGCTGTTTTCAATTGCTGTTTTCATTTCGTTTGCTGTTTTCAACTCACTGGTTCGGTCGGGATTAGAGTATGGTAGTGTCGTTTGGACTCCTTTTCAACCGACTTCAAAAAAGGAGGAGGTTCTCAATTCGACCCGTATGTTTTTTTTTTTCTATGTTTGTTACGCGATAACTCCGCCAATTATGAACCGATTTGAACAAATCTTTTTTCTGCGTATAGGTAATACCTCAAGGGTGGTCCCATTTAAATTTAATAATAGAAAAAACAATCCCCAAGGGTGGAAAATTGGGGATGAACTTTTTTTTAAAGCAATATCTACGCCGATTATAAATCAATTTGAACGATTATTTTTTTGTTGAATAGGTATTATCAAAAGGGTGGTTTCATGCGAATTTGAAGAAAATATTTCACCCCCAAGGGTGGAAAATTGGGGATGAACTTTTTTATACGCAATATTTTCAATTTTTAGTTTTTTTTTGTGTTCACGCATTTGAAGTCGGTTTTATTTTTTTTAAAAGTTAATTATTATTAAATACATAAACGCAGAGTTGAATCAATACAAAAGAGATTTCTTTGGCATTTGTCATATCAACATAAATTAGCTAAACAGCTCCCAAGCTACAATACACGCCTAAATTATTTTAAACTGAATAGCTTGGAAGACCGCAGGAAAATATTGGATAGTCTATTCCTGTATAAAATAATAAATGGTTACATAGATTGTCCTGATCTCATTGGACAGACTAAATTCAATGTTCCCTTCAAACTAGCTCGGTTGTCCAGGTATCTGCCGTTTAAAGCAAATGGTTTTAGGACAAATCTGGGTCATTTCTCCTCTATCAACAGGATTCAGTCACAATTTAGCAACCTGTCACGTTCTTCCGGGGCCAGCGTCGATATGTCATCTTCGCTACGTAAATTCAAAAAACAAATTTCTGAATTGTATACTCCGACGGTTAGTTAATTATTTATTGTTTTGCATTCTGTCATTGCTAGACATCGGATTATATGCACTATCAAAATGCCAAAATATGCATGCAAATATGCACTAAAAAAAGGGCGAAATATGCACAAAATATGCACAATCAAAAAAACATTATTAGAATGAACTTTATTTTCACAATACATAATTAATTAATTATATAGGTACTTATTGGTTGTAATTCTTGTGACAATATAAATATAGTAAAAAATATTAATAGTGACAATTTAAAAATTATGTCTTAACTGCATTTAAACATGAATTTGATTTATTGTTTGTTAAAAAAAAATGAATTTTAGCGAATGTTTTTCGATAATAAAACGCAAATCCAGAAAACGTTTTTATACGACCGGTCACTTTTCGGTCTTCATGGAATGGTCATTCATTTTCGCTCCGCAACCCCCCCCCCCCCCTCCCGGATGAAGGTTACTTTTTATTCAAAAAGGTTACATTTTTTATATTTCTGGTAATTTCTGACAAGACCCGACTGGCAACAGTGGTACGGATCGCTCTCAATGCGCTCTCGCAGTGCGTGCGAGGGCGATGTGTTGATATTTGGTGTGGGGACGGCGGCGAAGTACAACACGTCTAACACGTATAAACTTACTAAAATAAGCACTGTCAATGAAANGTGTTGATATTTGGTGTGGGGACGGCGGCGAAGTACAACACGTCTAACACGTATAAACTTACTAAAATAAGCACTGTCAATGAAAAAGTACCAAAATATGCAATAACGCTATAAAAATAGCATTATATGCGTTTGCATATGCAATAATGCAAATGCATATAATCCGATGTCTAGTCATTGCACTTTGGCAACGTTATTGTTATCCAACATTCGGTGCATGTCGTGGCAACCTTTAATTAAGGCAACACCTTAGCTTAATTTATTTATAAGGATACTGTGAATGTATGGTGTATGTTTTGTTGGTTGTCCTTAAATAAATAAATAAATGCTCGGTGTTTCTTTACGAGATCAAATCAGAAATGAGGAGATCCGTAAACGAACTAAAGTCACTGACATAGCCCGACGGATTAGCAACCTGAAGTGGCAATGGGCAGGGCACATAGTACGCAGAACTGACGGCCGATGGGGCAGCAAGGTTCTGGAGTGGAGGCCACATACCGGAAAACGCAGCGTGGGACGTCCACCTACGAGGTGGACTGACCTGATAAAGGTAGCAGGAAGGCGCTGGATGCAGGCAGCTACCAACGATGTGGAAGTCATTGGGGGAGGCCTATGTTCAGCAGTGGACGTCCTGTGGCTGGAATGATGATGATGATGACTCACGGCTGGCCGAGGACAGCAGGTCGGGCAGGTAGGGCAGCTTCTTGATGAGGATGATGCTGTCGAAGCAGGACGGCTGCAGCAGCGCCGCCACCGCGTTGGCTGACAGAACCGCCGCCATGATGGGCAGCAGGTGCGTGACCTGGACACATAATATATAGTCAACATAGTCAGATAGCCAGTTCCTCCGTGGTTGAGGATTCCGGGTGAAGCTCGCTTCCACCTTCGGCCTGATCGTCACTTACCATCAGGTGAGATACAGGTCAAGAGCTTCCTCGTTGTGGATAAAAAAAAAACATCAGGTCATATAAGTGGAGGATGACCCTCTGTTACGCGATACCCTAAGGCCCTTTTTTAATTCGTAGTTAAAATAACTGTAACTGTAACTAACTGTAAAATAACATAACTGACATCTGTCAAATTTGACTATTGGTTAATTTAACTACGAATAAAAAAACTGGGTCTAAGACCCAGTTTTTTGATTCATAGTTAAAATAACAAATTGTTAAATTTTGCTACTAATGGTTAAATATTAACAAAATGTTAACTAATAGTTAGTAACTGGGCCTTAGACCCGGTTTTTTGATTCGTAGTTAAAATAACCAATAGTCAAATTTGACAGATGTCAAGTGACAAGTGGTTAAATTTCAGAAAAAAATGTTTTTCGAACAATGGTTAGCTTGACTTTTAGTACATTTTTTAACTATTAGTTAACATTTTGTTAATATTTAACCATTAGTAGCAAAATTTAACAATTTGTTATTTTAACTATGAATCAAAAAACTGGGCCTTAGTCAGCTATTTTGGCACTTATGAACGTCAAAAATAAAAAAGGTAGCCCTTATGGGGCACTTTACATGTCTCCTTATCTTTTGGGCCCTACCAGCGCTCCGAGACAAACATAATATGGCAAGTGCTGAGAAGAAAGGCCGGAACAAACTCAGTTATCACAAGTTGCCAGCCATTATTTAAAAAGAATACGCGCTCATCGCCTTAGGAATTAGGAGGCGTCAAAAGTAAGAGGATTTTTTCCTACACACTTTATGCTGATCAGACGAGTTGGGGAAGCTTGACGTTCACATAATTATTGTCACATTATGTCACAAGTGTCCACTAGAAGAGTGGGGTGGCCCCATTCAATATGCTAAATTCTCCATTTTGTAAACTAGAAAGGGTCGTGCTCCTGCCTGCAGTGACCTGATGATGAAATCATTAGACGCTTACAGCGATTAAAAGTTTTTATTTCTGTTATGATACAAGAATTAGGCTGAGTTGCACCACCTAATTTTGACAGAACCATAACGACAACTGGTGTTTTTGTATGGAGTTTGACAGTTGGAGTTTAAAGTAAGATGGTGCATCCTAGGAGAGTAAATACAAATGAGTAGGTCATCTTCATAGAAACGCACCGAGCGCGGTTTGTATGTGAGCGCGCCAATATACGTATGCGGCGCGCACGCACACACTGACAAAATTCGGCGCAACCACGACTGGCTCCCCGCTCGCGCTAATCCCCGCTAAATTTCTATGAAGATGACCTACTCATTTGTATTTCCTCTGATCCTAGCCTAAGAATGTCATCAATCGACTAAAAATTAATTAAGCCTGTAAGTCATGTGACGTCACACTGACCTGCCCCGTCATCTCGCTGACGATGACGATGGTGGATACAGTGTGAGTGACGGCGCCCGTGAACGCCGCCGCGCCGACCGTCGCGTATCCTCCTGCAAGGGAAAGAGGACTTTAAGTGGTGGTGATAGGGTTTAAATTACACTAGGATGTAGGAAACCTTCCGCCTCATTATAAAATCTAAGTCAGCCTTGTAAGTGGTGGTGAAAGGGATTAAACTGACTGGGACGCCAAATCTCGTTTAAAACTCAGAGGTGGAATTGTGTAAAGCAATCGTAATCATTTGACAATTCATAACGTACGATAAAGTCAGTTTTACAAAGCGTTTGACAGAATAATCGTACGTTATGAACTGTCAAATAATAACGATTGCTTTACACAATTCCACCTCAGGTCTTATTTTCTATTCCTTAAGTGCGGGGACACCTGGTTCAAAATCAGTTTTGTCCCAATCTGCACCAAAATGCTCCACTCATCCCTAAACCAAAAGCTGGATACGCTTGTGGCTATACTGTGTGAAGTCCGGTATATCTTGCCTAGCAATAACTACTGTATATGCACGCTGTAGCTAACGTGGCTGGAATACATCAACTATAAACGACAGACTTAAATATTCAGTCACGCCTATTTTGTAGGCAGAGAAAAAGATACTCGTCGTCACGTATTTCAATAGATAAAGCTATGCTCATACCGCATGTGGTGGGAGCAGGCAGGGTTTGAAACAGAGTTGGATCATCGCCTCCACCTTGAGTCAAAATGCCCCAGAGGGCAAAATGGTTGTATCCTGACTCAAAAGCTGGATACGCCCACTCCTATACTATGAGTATCAAGTCTGCTCAGCATCATCATTTCAGCTGCGTCCTGTAGTTGCCCACTGCTGAACATAGGCCTGCCCTAATGATTTCCATATCGCATGGTTGGTAGCGGCCTGCATCCAGCGCCTTCCTGCTACCTTTATGATAGACTAGCGGCCGCCCGCGACTTCGCACGCGTCGATCCCGTTTTACCCCCTTAGGGGTGGAGTTTCGTAAAATCCTTTCTTAGCGGATGCCTACGTCATAACATCTACCTGCATGCCAAACTTCAGCCCGATCCGTCCAGTGGTTTGGGCTGTGCGTTGATAGATCACTATGTCAGTCAGTAAGTCAATACTCAATATAATATTTTATTGCATCCATTATGTACTTAAAGTTAGAACATTATGGGCCCTGTAGGGCACGGCAATTAGGAGAGAGGAGGACCACCCTAGATCAACCGAAAGATGTCAGAAGTTAAAGCCCAGCAATTTATCGTTGAGATACTCACTTAGAGCATAATAGTGTTTAGAAATTAAAAGTTCTTGAAGTTTTTTTACAAATGTTAATTCTTTGGGTCTATTTTTTATCGAAATTGGAAGCTTATTAAAAATTTTGATTGACATGGAAAGTGGACCCGATGAGTACAGTTCAAGGCGGGATGGAGGTGTTATTAGTTTTTGTCGATGTCGTAAATTGTATGTACTGTCGATGTTATTGTATGTCAGTCATCTTTGAGTTATATTATTTAGATATCTCACCAGGCAGGATCTTCTGTATGTGCCCGCCGTAAGCGACCCCTAGCGGGCAGAAGTAGTGCATGAGCTCGCCCGTCAAGCGGCCTAATGCCGCGCCCATCTTGAAGGCGGGCACGAATATGCCGGCCGGCACTGGCAGCGTGCACGATACCATGCTCAGGAAGAACTGGAAGTCAAAGTCAAAAGTTTACTAACAAATCATCATACTATAGTCTGGTCCGTGAGCACGTAGAATTTTGTCCAATGACCCCAAGCTACCTATCCTTCTCGCTCCCGTGTAATTATATTGCTGTCGCGACTGTGCGACGGGCGCCCGCAGTGAGTGTCCGAGCGCGACAGCAAAATGATTACACGAAAGCGATAAGGATGGGTAGCTTGGGGTCATTGGACAAAATTATAAGTGCTCACGGACAAGGCTTTAGACTACAATACAATAGGATACAAATAAACAAAATAAATCTAATATGTAATCTGTTCTTTGTTTGTAGTTGGAAAGTACTGATTTTTTTTTAACTATGCATAGGTCAATAAAAAAATGTAATAATCACACACTAGCTTTGCTGGTGAGAGCTGAGCTGTAACTATTATAACAACTACCTTGCTGTATTACCTTGTCTCGGTGAATAAATGATCTTTGAATCTTTTTTAAATAGAGTCTAGATACTATTCATTTTGTTTACTTGTATTTTGTTATTCTAAATGACTGCAACCTGTATGTGTACTTTTGAATAAAATTAAAATAAAATGCTGAGGCGTTACAAACAACAACATTTCACTGTCGTTTCTGAATATCGTCGTAATACAATGATGAAAATGTTGTCTGTAGTATGGAATGTAATAATTAAGATCTAATCTAGTGTCACATCACTAAACAGGGAATTTTGTAGATATAAAAAACAAACTACTCTGATGGCACAAGTCTTCTGCTATCGAGTCGGTTGAACAAGTGAGCTTGAGGCCATAACTGATACTTTTATATTGTATCTTCTTTCTTTTCGGGCAAATCTAGAATGCAATGTCATAGCCAAAGTGGAAACAAATTCATAAAGTGATTTTATAATGAAAATCCGAGATAAAAGTCTAGAAAAAAGTCTAAAATTCTTCGAATATCTTTATTAGCTAAAGGTATTCGAAGAATTCAGTTAAAATAATTGGCATCTTTGATCAACTTTACATAAATTACCTAAATTGCTCGTATAACAGACGATTCCTATAGTCGTTCATATCGGCCATACTATCGCATGCGCAATGTCACGAAATTGGACGTATCGTACAAATTACCTGCTTATTATGTTTGCACAGATGCTACTTACCTACCGACAAAACAACCATACTATAATAATTAATTGTAACTATACACAGTAGTTTTAACTAGCCGGATTACTTAATAGTTACTTAGTTTTTAGTCTGTTGTTGTGATTTGAAACTATAAAATTATCAAATTCAAATATGAATTAGGACGGTTCCCGCAGAAGTACATCTGCTTGTTCTGGCTATTGGACAACTTGTGAATTACCTAGCTACATAAAATTTGTTAATTTCTCATGTAAGTGACTGTAAGGTTTTTAATGAGAAATAAATGTTCTTTAAACCTGAAAGTATAATCAGCTTCATTTCAACGAATTTTTTTAGTCCAATGTTTGACGTAAGTATTTTGGTCTTCAAGGGGGTCTCAAATTATATTCTTTTCTCTTTTTATGAACTAGAATCAGGAAGGTGTTACAACAAGGCTAGTCAATAGGATATAAATTTTGTGGTTAAAAAGTATAGTCTAGAAAAGATTCAATTATTTCAAATTCTATCAAATAAAAAAACCAAATGTGACAAAAAAAAATTTACGTTAATTACAGCTGATTAAATATTATTTCTTTTTATTAAATATCTACCCCCATGCAATAATTTGGTCCTTCGAAAACAAAATGTCCGACGAGGATGGGATTCGAACCCACGCGTGCAGAGCACATTGGATTAGCAGTCCAACGCCTTAACCTCTCGGCCACCTCGTCTTGTGGTTGACACAACAAATTGTCACACCACATACTATAGCAATGACTGCACATCAAGTTACACACAGTGGGGTCTTATGTAGTTGAAATAGGGATGATATTGCAATAAAAATGTAAGTGGTGGTGACTGCACTCGTAATTGCAACATCAACTGTTTATGCAGTTGGTCTATTGTTTTGTTTACTGTCACGTTTATAATATTGCTGCATTGGTACTCTATTAACCTAATTAATATCTTTACATGTACCAAGTACAAGAAACGACGTGAATTACTTTTTATTGCGACGTGACTAATGAATGAATGTGGTTTCTGTTGAATAAAGTACGTATCTACAAAACATTTGCAACATGTACAATCATGACGTTTCCGAAAACATGATGGTTGGAAAAATACGATTCCTCTCTTCGATGACACGTTAAAGGCTCTATGAACAGTAATTTTCGATCGAGGTATGCAACTGTAGCCGACGTTAGTTTCTTCTTCCAGTTCTTTCTTTTTTGTTGACGACGATGGAGAAATTCATTCTCAACTGGCTCTTGTACAAAGTCGTCGAGGTGTCAACAGTTTGCCGCAGGTAAACGGATGGCTAACTGCCGATGGTGACGGCGACTGTAGTCGCTTCTGCCTTCGTCAAAGCGCTACTTGTGTGTTAGAGCCAATGCGGTTGCTCGCTACTTACGACAGAGAGGAAGTAAACAACGAGGCATCCATAGTAGCCGAGCTCGGGTGTTCGCCAGTGAGCTACCACGGCCGCCTGCGCCGCCGATAACTCGTCGCCCCATGTGAAGTTGGCGAACAGAGACAACACCTGGACACAGCACAAAAGGTAAAGACGATTAGTGATTACAAAGCTACGGAATGACTTCAAAATTTAGAGAAACATCGGTGAAAGAATTAAGAATAAGAATACTACTGTATAAAAACTTAGCCTAACCACGTACTAGTTTGGTTTCAATAAAATTAAGGTTATTGTGCGAAATCTTCGATACTTATTCTCGTCCGATACTTTGTTGAAGCAAGACGCGTGCTAAGCCCCAACCAGAAGGATAGTAATTGATTTTCATCCTTATTAACAGTAGTGTACGATCTTAATTGCTTTGTGGCTATATTTCTCTTACGACCACTGTTAAGTTGTGCATTTGAACTTGTGTNCTTCTTTTCGGCCATTTTTAAAAGCCGTAAAAACAGAACATAATGAGCTCATACAGAAAAATGTTGCGTTTGTACGAAACTACCCACATTAAGAGCTTGCCTTCTTGGCCTTACACCTTATGAACCATCAACCGTCTTGGAGCCTGATGACCCGGCGCCGCGGACGCACTCGCCCCAGTCGAGCCTCCGCCTGCTTTTATAACGACCGATGACCCTGTGCCCATACACATTGTTCAATGCTACAAAGGGTAACTGAATAATTTTGTTGTTTCGTATTTTTATACATTACACCAATTGATATTGGTCTAAATACAAAGGCTAGTAAGAAATAAATAAGTATCAGATCAAAATTCAAAGTGCATTTATGTAGATTCATTACTTGCTATTATTATAAGGTCAGAATAAATGATCCTAAATAAACCTTAGGCCGGTTTGTTGACCGAACCGAGTCGAAGTGGAAATAAATGCCTACTTTTTATATGAAGTATGACAATATGTCGTTTTTTTCTATGCAACGACTCATATTAACTGACATTGTGATTGTGAGTACTTATCAGTCTCACATTTTTTTGTTGGAAACTTACAAAGATCTTCATTCTCGTCCGATACTATGTTGAAGCAAGACGCGTGCTAAGCCCCAACCAAAAGGATAGTAATTGATTTTCATCCTTATTAACAGTGGTGTACGATCTTAATTGCTTTGTGGCTATATTTCACTTACGACCACTGTTAAGTTGTGTATTTGAAGNATTTGAAGTTGTGTACAGTATACGCAAAAAACTAAGATAAAATGCAGAGAACTCCGGAACCGGAACACCAGGTAAAATACTCATCATACCCAAACCTTACTATTGAACCGGAAGCTGGCAATAGCTTCGTCAGAAACATTAATTTGAGGAAAAGGAAAACCAACCCAGAGGAGACCCAATTCGAAGAAATGAAATCTGCACTTATGGAATCCTTCAAGGAAATGATGAACTCTGAGATGGCTGAGATAAAAAACCAGAATCTTAAGATTCTTGAAACTAACAATGAGATGATAAAACTGCTGCAGATAAATGCCACTAGTTATAAAGAAATAACTGGAAGAGTAGAAGCCCTTGAAACGAAACATGAGACAGCTATGAAACGTATTAGTGACCTGGAAGCACAACTGAATAGTATTCAAAAGAAGATGAACAGCAATATGGTTGAAATAAGAAATGTTCCCAGGGCGGATGGAGAAGATTTGAAGGAAATTGTGACTAACATCTGTACTACAATAAAAACCCAGCCGATAAATAATGCCAATATATACAGAAGAGGTAAAAACAATGCACCCATAATTATAGAATATAAAGAATCTAAAGAAAGGGACATACTACTAAAAGCCTTCAAGAAATATAATGGCGATAATAAGGACAATCCATTAAATACTGAGAGTGTGGGTTATGGCGGGACGAAGTCTAGGATTTACATATCGGAATGCTTGACGCCTATGTCTAAAAAAATCTTGGCAGCGGGACGGAACCTCGTGAAAAATGGAACCTTTAAGTATTGCTGGACATCACAAGGGAACGTACTACTTCGAAGAGAAGAAGGTCAACCAGCATTGATTATTAACTCACTAGCTCAAATAGAAGACTTAGCTTCAATCTGACTATCTTGCTTGGGAAAATTTATACAATTGTGGTATTTACTTCTGTTCTTCACTATTTTTATTTTTGCTTGCACCTTTTACTATACAGTGTGTCCGGGCTTGTAGTGATCAAACTTTAAGGGCAAAATCTAGGGACAATTTTATCGATAAAAATACTTCAAATTTGGGGCCTGACCCATTTCTTGAAAAATTACATCGATTTAAGTTTTTAATTTTTAGTTTACACCTCTTCTTTAAAAAACAAGTGAAAGCGTGGGTAACTTAACATTAATAGGCAAATATTTTATATCATACGATAGCCAATAAAATTATCTATTAGAAGAAGAAGAAAACAGACACAAGTTTCATACCTTTTATTATTTTTATTTCATACGTTTCCATAGTAATCGGAATAGGTTGTGTGATTCTTTCAGGCAGTGCATTTTCGCATGTCGCGTGCGCTATGGAAACCGCTGGGAAAAAAAAACTATATAATTATATTATTTATAAACATAATAAAATATAAGTATATCATCAGTAAAACTACCTATCCAAAATTTCTACAATTATTATAAAATACTATTTATTACTAAATTCATTAAAAAATGGTCAAGCATCTTATGTTTTTAAGTGGCTAAAGGTTTTGTTAGAATACCAAGAATATTACTACTTGTCGCTTAAACAAACGTCTAAATAATAATAAATTACTAACAGCAAAAACAAACTTAACTCCACATTGTAATAACTTCAAAACTTGTCTGAATATTTTGCATATACTACATGTTTACGCTTTATTCGTCACTTAGTATCGTCATGTTTAGTGTGTCGTCGTATTAATCGCATCATTGCAAAGCAGTCTTTATGTTAATTAGTTAAAGCTGGTATTCGGGAGGCGAGAATCCTACCTTGCCGTAACACAGTTACGACTAGCACGGAAGGTGGGGAACTTTTTTTCGATATACCGCCAATAGATGTTTATTTTATTAGTTGCATTTGTTGTATATTTTTACAAGTTAGGGGTTAACCATAATAATTAATTAGTGTTGTGGTATGATATTGTTGTTTTGTATGGGAAATTTAAAGGAAACAAATTTTTTTGCAAACATTTTTGCGATCTTTTAGTGAACTTTGCTTCGATTTTTGGAGATACCGATTTAATAATTTTTTGGGCAGACTGAGACAACCTATTATAAGAAAAATTTAGAAAATTGCTACCTATAAATTAAAACCAAAGGAAAATTTTCAAGCTCGCTTTTATAGATAATATAGATTAAGTAGTTCTTAAAATTAAAATAAAATAGAAATAATAATGGACATAGCCTATTGTAATAAACTAATACCTACCTAGGGAAAATCGGCGGCTTCACACCGTACCCCATATTGCAACATGTTTGTACCTACTCCTCAATAATCACTAGATAATGTTTGTACTCATTTACAATATAATGTTTAGCTACAACTGATAATGTTCCTAATGATATAAGGCAGTGTACTGTATACTTTTTACTGAAATAAAATATTCTTATTCTTATTCTTATTCTTCTTATGTAATTACTTCGATAGAGTGAAATTTAAATAAATACTTTCACTTTTGACTTTGACAAATTGAAAAACTTTACTTTGACGAATAGTTAGGCTGTCACTCCGGAATAACGTAGCTTTCTACTGGTAAAAGATTTTACAAAATCAATGTAACATAGTGTGGAATCTACAGTTTCACCGTTAATAAAAAGGTCACGTTTGTGCCGGGGGAATTCGTGAGTGGACCAGCAACGAAATTAATCGGAAGATCATAGGAGTTCGAAGTTAGGCCTCCCGCGTACTAGGCAGCCAAGTGTTCATATACCGGATTGGCTTTAGCTAGGCCATAGCCTGGTGCGCGGGGTCGCTTAAGATACTCTGCAAATTATTACACACTTTTTGTCGGCCGACATTAATCAGTATGTCCAAATCTATACTAATATTATAAATGCGAAAGTAACTCTCTCTGTCTGTTTGACTTGCTTTTACGCTTAAACCACTGAACCGATTTTGATGAAATTTGGCATAGAGATAGTTTGAGTCCCGGAAAAGGACACAGGATAGTTTTTATCCCGGTTTTTGAAACAGGGACGCGCGATAAAAATTTTTTGTGACAGCCAAAATTCCACGCGGGAGAAGCCGCGGCGGAAAGCTAGTCATATTATACGGATTTGGTATCGGCCGACTTCTCATACCTAGAAGCCGACTAAAAGTCTGTAGTCTGCGGGGAACCTTAGATCACAAAAAAGGTAAAACTACATAAGTATGATGTATGACAGTTTAACTTTCCCCCGGGACAAACTTGACCTTCACTGATCTTACTACTATTAAATAAAATGTATTATACCATTGATGAATTTTGTAATGATTCTTTAGGTTAAGTTTTGACATAATTTGAAATTGTATAATTTATGACATTAGCTATTATTCTGTTGTATTTAATAATTAGAAAGATTGACTGACTGCATTGACATAGATAATTTTGTAATACCAATTGATTTAGATTATATAATTATTCAAATTTATTAAGAATTCGTATGCCTATACGGCAGATCATAGTGGAACCTACTAACCCCTAACAACTTTGTACCTATGATAATGACGAATAAATTTCATTTTCATTTTCATTTTTCATTTTCATTTGGGTTTATATGGCGGTCAAGCTGTAGATCCTGGCTACACAGGAGTTGCAGTGGTGGGAGCGAGAGGTGGGAATTGTCCTGTTTAAGTATGATGTATGGTACCTGTTCCTGGTTCCCGAGGTCGGCCGCCATGTATTTGCCGATGCCGGGCGGGAACAGGATGGACATCACCACCAGCGTCATGAAGCCCGGGTAGATGAACCGGCTGTAGAATAGAATACATATACATTGAGACATAAAGTCAATGCCGTGCAACGCTCTCTGCCTATTAACCTTTTGGGCTGGGTTCGGCTAAAGCCCGGTCTGTGAGCACGTAGAATTTTGTCCAATGACCCCAAGCTACACATCCTTAACGCTTGCGCGTAATTATATTCCTGTCGCGACTGTGCGACGGGCGCCTGCAGTGAGTGTGCGAGCGCGACAACATAATTACGCGCGAGCGATAAGGATGGGTAGCTTGGGGTCATTGGACAAAATTCTACGTGCTCACGGACCAGGCTTTACATCCTCCTACTTCTATGAAGTATACACACTATACACAATAACAAAATCGTTCTTTACAATGCAAAAGAAAAGAACAAAAAAGCCTATGGCAGTCAACTGCTGGATTTATAGGCTATTTTATTTCTCATCGTGTGAGATGCAGTTTGAAAAGGTTGGCCGTTGTATTCGTCTACGCGGTGGGTCTGTTTGGTATCCGACACGATACTTACTTCTTCTGTAAATAGCCAAAATATATCCTGGGTAAAAAAGCAAGATTTTGAGTTAGTCCGTCAGTAAACTTATCAAAAAATACTCGACATGTATTTTTAACTTTTCCAAACTAATGAAAATTGAAAGAGATAAAGCGAGCCAAAGTTCAAAAGAAAAGGCCCGTGACGTCAAGGCGTGCTTAAAAGTTTAGGACTTTGTGACGTCACGCGGAACTTTAACGCATCATAACTTCGTAATTATTTGTTTGATTGACTAATAATAAATAATATTCTAGTCCAATATTTTTTTGTAATCTATCTATATAAATAAAAATGAATTTATGTTCGTTAGTCTGATTAAAACTCGAGAACGGCTGGGCCGATTGAGCTGATTTTGGTTTTAAAATGTTTGTCGTAGTCCAGGGTAGGTCTAAATGGTGAGCAAATACGCGCGCGATATTGTTTTTCTGTGACAGACAAACTTCCACGCGGGCGAAGCCGCGGGCGGAATGCTAGTTTGTAAATAATATAAAAGATGGACTAAAAGTTTTTTAACCTGCTGTACACTAGACTGGTACTCACTTCTTCTGCAGGAAGTTGCTGAGCGTAGGCGTGTTTCGCATGAACAGCACGTACTGCCGGTGCAGCCACACCCACAGCGCCGCCAGAAGACCGCAGACAATGCTGTAAACAAACTCTGTTGGTTAATTACTTGACAACATAAAACAAAATGGCCGCACTTGAGCCGCGACAGGCACGAAATGTCAAGATATTTTTTGAGTAATTTGTATGATGTGTGTCGCGAGCGTCGCTACACAGAAGTAGCAGCGCGTTGAAGCACAGCGCAGCACCGCTCAAATGCAGTCAGACCTTAATAAGGCCGTTGACACTGCTATAGTCTGGTCCGGGAGCACGTAGAATTTTGTCAAATGACCCCTAGCTACCCATCCTTATCGCTCGCGCGTAATTATGTTGCTGTCACGCTCGCACACTCACTGCGGGCGCCCGTCGCACAGTCGCGACAGCAATATAATTACGCGCGAGCGATAAGGATGGGTAGCTTGGGGTCATTGGACAAAATTCTACGTGCTCCCGGACCAGACTATAGACAATTCAAAACGCTATGCTTACATAGATTCTTTAGGATAAAGAGGACTATGGTATCATTAGATCGCAAAATCAATTGACTGACATTTTATTGATTTAAAAGCTACTGAAAATGCAATTTATCAGCCAATTCAAATCTAGCTCGATTTTAGTTTCAATTCCCCACTATTCCTGTCTAGTACACCTTATACATATACAGTCACCAGCAATCAATTAATTATTAATTTAGTATTAATCTAACCAAATGATGTAATCAGTTGTGTTTTCCAATAAAATAAAAATAAAAAATAAATAAAATAAAATCACTTTGTTGTAAAATAAAAACGTTTGCAATGACAGTCCAGAACTTAGCTTGACGTTTTGACATCTGTACATCATAATCAGGTCATTTATTTAGTCCCTACAGTAGGAACGCGACCCTCTCAAATTTACCAGAAGTCAACGGTAGCCTGACGGTTGCGGAGACCCGTATATAAGGGTGTTTAAAGGTGATAAGGTGCTGTCTGGTGACGGCAGAGTAGAATACATTTGTCACCAACCCCTACTCTTCCCGCGGGTGTCGTAAGAGGCGACTTAGGGACTACACATCAAACAGAGAACGGGCAGCAGCGATCTCTGATAAACATTAATCTTTTAAACTGCGATCTCCAATCCGTCTGCCAAGTGTGGGGATTATGACAAAACCCTCCACTAAAGTGGAGAAGGCTCATAGTCCAGCAGTGGGCTGTAAAGGGCTGTTGATGATGATGAAAGGTGATAAAATAAAACCGCCTCTGTGGTCTAGTGGTAAGACCACCTGCTTCAGACGCAGAGGTCCCGGGTTCGATTCCCAGTGGGGGCAGATTTTTCTGTTCGGTTTGGTTGGTGGTAGGGCTTGTTCTAAGTCCGCCTGGCTAGCTACCACCATCTTACCTAAGTCTGTCGCCATAACAACAATGTTAACAGCATTGTTGTGTTCCGGCAGTTAGAGGTAAGATAGCCAGTTCCTCCGTGGTTGAGGATTCCGGGTGAAGCTCGCTTCCACCTTCGGCCTGATCGTCACTTACCATCAGGTGAGATTCAGGCCAAGAGCTCCTCGTTGTGGATAAAAAAAATAGTGACTCACCCGAGCAGGACGAAGACGGCGAACTCCTGGGGGTCGAATGGGAAGTCCTGCGGCAGGTTGGTGGGGAACAGCGGCTTCACCGTCGGCATCTGCCCCGCCCACACCGACAGCAGCCGGAACATCTGGGAATTACAGTCCTTGATATGTATTTTCTATCTAATGTCAAAGTATACAGGGTGTGGTTTTGTAAAACAACGACCATCTCAGTGGTGGTAGTATACACGACACAGACGATAAAAAAAAAAATTAAAAAAAAAAATCATGTACCACGCAATTTTGTATACCCATTCTTATAAGATACACCACACAAGAATGCGTGGTAAATTCAGTGAACTGCTCCTGAATCAAATGTACCTACTACTGCTTTTTCTATTTATTTATATTAACCGGCAGACAGTGGTGACTGAGTTTGTTGCGGCGCTTCTTCTCAGCACTTGCCAAATGTTGGTTCGAAGCGCTGGTAGGGCAAAAAGATTATGAAACATGTAGATGCTCCTGCTGATATAATATTTGACGATTTGTAAGTAATATTTTTAATAGTCCATGCAAATAAGATAATTTTGACTTTGACTTATATGACTTTAATTACAAAAATCTTTATTTACAACAAGTTATAACTTTACAGTGGTGGATGTTCTCCTTAGTAAATATACTTATATTAGGAGAAACACGCTGAAACAGCTTAGCTCATACCAGTACACATTCTTGTAATAATGTTGAAAAAGATGATGTGATAACTGAATTTCTTACGCTCGGAGCGCACTTACACGGCCTTAAAGAAAATAGTATTTTATTAACAGTTCTTAGAGTCGTAATTGCCTTACAACTGATTAACTGACATTTCAATCCGGACGGCTGCGCGAGCATGCGTTGGAAGCCGGTCGGCTCCGAGCGTATTCCAGCGGATACGCGCGCATTCCACCGTATTTTTGACTGAACGGACGCTGCGCTGCGCGCCGACTCACACCGGTCAATGTGAATCCTGCCTTATTAACAGTTCTTAGAGTCGTAATTGCTTACAACTGATCGACTGACATTTCAATCCGGACGGATGCGCGAGCATGCGTCGGAAGCCGGTCTGCTCCGAGCGTATTCCAGACAGAGACGCGCAGACGCGCGCATTCCAACTAATTTTTACGCTGCGCCACGCGTCGACTCGCGCCGGTCAATTTGATTCCTGCCTAAGATAATAGTGACAATAGTGACTGAGTTCCTTGCGCTGCTTCATTTCATCACTGGCCAATTTATTGTCCCGAAGCAGTGGTAAGGTTTAATACTGGGTCGTGTCAAAGATTTGATTTGATTTAATCTTGCCAATCGTAACAGCGACTCGAGTGCTAGTATCGTTCGAAAAACTGTTTAGCAAACTATGGAAGTCATTTATCACTCACAATAGCACTGCAACACGCCGCGAAGAATCCTCTCCAGTAGTTCCTCACTGCGAAGTACGTTGTTGTGACTTCAATCGAAAACAGAACACCTGGAAGACAGGAAATGGGAATGATAGTAATTATTTCCAAAATTCAAATTATAAGTCTGAAAAGGTTCACTTCAAATTACTCTCATTTACTTCGCACCAATTTTATAGAGGATCAAAAGACCATTCATTTAAAACTCAAGCTTAACCATTATGGCGTGATGGTGCATTTTTATTTGCCGTTAGTCATGTAGTTCCCCTTACATATCCCATGGATGTCGTTGGACAAACGTGACGTCGAGTAAAGAAAAACGGGGACATCAGGTACCCAAGTTTGGCCAGATTGGGGAGTGTAAACCAAATCTTCTATTTGCCGCTGGGAAATTGGAGAGTTCTTGCAATAGAAGCTAATGCTGCGGCAGCCAGCGTATCCGTAGTCCTGGACTCGTTAGCGTAGATGCCTTGGGATGTAGTCACAGCTTCGGTGGACTCGTTGGCTTCCTTAAGAGATGCCTAAGGAGGTAGTCACAGCTCCAAGAGGAGCGTTGCCACTATAGACCATTAGCTAAAGATGCTGATGCTGACGATCTGATGAAGGCCGTCAGAAGTACCTGGATGAGAGCAGCGCAGGACCAGTCGTTATGGAAATCCTTGTGGGACGCCTTTGTCCAGCAGCGGACGTCATTTGGCTGAAACAGAACAGATGCAGTAAGGTAACTGTTACTAACCTCCGACAGGCGCCGCGAAGCAGGAAGCCACTCCCACAGCACAGGCAGCAGCCAGCATCTCCTCGTGGCGTAGATGCCTGAAGGTGGTCACTGCTGATGCAGCAGGAACTGTACTGACCTCCGACAGGCGCCGCGAAGCAGGAAGCCACTCCCACAGCGCAGGCAGCAGCCAGCATTTCCGTAGTCCTGGACTCGTTGGCGTGGATGCCTGAAGGTGGTCGCTACTGATGCAGCAGGAACTGTACTGACCTCCGACAGGCGCCGCGAAGCAAGAAGCCACTCCCACAGCGCAGGCAGCAGCCAGCATCTCTGTAGTCCTGGACTCGTTGGCGTAGATGCCTTGGAAGGTGGTCACCAGCTTCGATAGTAGGGTTGCTACCATGGAAGCGATGTGCACTGATGGACCCTGGAAGTACAGGAGATGGAAGATGAGCCGTGAGGCAAGCGAGAAAGAGTAGTATGTTATTGGGCGTTCTATCTCACATTCGGTCGGTCGCAGTCGCGACCTCACTCTGTGCGATAGATCGCCCAATAACACGATCGTAAGTAAACCATGCCTGCAGTAATGTACGATGAATATGAACCTTTTTCGAACTACATCTTTTAATCATCGGTGTGAGTATATTGTCATCAGTTCTTTGAAATCCACCGATCACGACAGTCGAGTTAAAAATTCTGTTATGAAATTTCTGAAACAAAAAGAATCACTTAAATTGGAATGCGTCTGTCCTGAAGCATCGAACAAGCCTAAGCGTCACGGGAAATTATTGCCAAATACTATACGTAGTATCGTGTGCGGTCCATCGAACTGTGGGAAGACCAATTTAGTTATCAGTTTATTGTTACATAAGGATGGACCACGTTTTCGTAACCTGTATGTGTACTCTAAGTCTTTATACCAACCTAAGTACGTATTTTTAGAAAAAGTATTGGACAAGGTTGCAGGTACATCTTATAACAAGTATAATCATAATAGTGAAATTTTGAGGCCCCACGAAGCATTGCCTGACTCAATTATCATATTTGACGATGTTGCTTGTGAAAATCAAAACAATATACGCGATTATTTCGCCATGGGTCGGCATAAAAACATTGATTGTTTTTATATGAATCAAACTTATACTAAAATACCTAAACAACTGGTAAGAGATAATGCTAATCTTATTATATTGTTTAAGCAAGATGATGTAAATCTAAGACACGTTTACGATGAACATGTTGGGTCTGACATGTCATGGTCGCAGTTTCGTGAAATGTGCTCAACTGTATGGAGTAAACCTTACAGTTATGTGGTCATCAATAAGGATTGTGAACGAAACAAAGGCTGTTATCGAATGAAGTTTGATACATTCATAGTAATGGACTAAACTTTTTATAAGTATAGATGTTAAGTTAGCAAACACTCAGTTTAATTAGAGAAGTCAAACAGAGCAGGAATCTTAATAATGGAACGAAATTTAAAGGAACAAATAGTAAAATCTGCTGCAGCTGTAAAAAGAAAAGTAGAAATGATTAAAGATGTAAAAAATTCAAATGATATGGCTTTGGACACAATATTTAAACCTATCATTAACCCGCTGAAACTATTAACAAACCAAACTGATGAAAAACGTCTTATAAATGAAGGATTGGAGCAAANATAGTGGGAGCCTAATTAATTCATAAGGAATATCTTTTAGGTTTTGTATTCTTGGATGTAACCTAACAGTAAGCTGCCATTGGTATAACATTTTACCTATGTTGGATGGAGAGACATGAGCCAAGCTGGTACAGAATATACATACATACTGTAATTCTGTGTGTTCTCTCGAGGCAATCGGCTCATCCACATGGTTGAACGGTTTACCCATGGTGCTACCGCTGTATAAGGGCATGCGTCATATTGGCCCATGAATACGAATCTTATAGAACTTATGAATTATTATTGACTCTCACTCAAGATATTATAGTGTGTAACTCAATCGGTTTATAATTCTCATATTTGAGGTTCTCGTATACATGGATGTAACCTAACAGTAAGCTGCTATTGGTATAACATTTTTACTCGTGTTGGATGGAGAGTCATGAGCCAAGCTGGTACAGAAAATTACATAAAAGTAAATTCTGTGTGTTCTCTCGAGGCAAGCTGCTCATCCGCATGGTTTTAAGGTTTACCTATGGTGCTACCGCTGTATAAGGGCATACGTCAAACTGACCCATGTATACAGATTTCTAAAAAGGAATTGTAAATTCCAATTGGGTTTGTTTTGTCATGTGATCGAAAGTGCGTGGACTCAAGGAAAAAGGTGATGTTGTGCTAGTAGCCGTGTGAAGGTAAGTCAAGTCTTTATGGAATATTCTATTCTGCATTACTACAGGCATGGTTTACTTACGATCGTGTTATTGGGCGATCTATCGCACAGAGTGAGGTCGCGACTGCGACCGACCGAATGTGAGATAGAACGCCCAATAACATACTACTAGAAAGGATCCTTGGATCATAGATTGGAAATGAAGGAAAATATTTGTACAGTCACGGAATGAAAAGGTTCGTCAGTTTTCAAATTGATTCCTTCAACGAATCGCGAGCACATATTACCTTTTGAAACTATGTTACAGAATAATCTCGAGTTAGAGAAAATAATCTTTAACTGTTCGTCAGTAAAGTACAAAATTTTTTTTTTCGATTTATCTTGTCAAGAAGATTATTATGATTGATAAACTAAAACCTTCTTGTTGGTTCAAACTGCCAATAATATTTCTTTTAAATAAAAAAAAACTATTGTCAATTGGTCAATGTCACCATTGCATTGCACTGATGGGATAGAAAAATAAACAAGCAAAACCTTATTCGTTAGCAAACGTCATATTTGTTTAAATGTTAGCAGCACTGTTTCTTGCACTGTTATGATGTTGGCAGGTTTGACTCTCACAGTACCTAGTGCAAGCGAAAACCGACACTAAGGTGACCAACCTTTTCATTCCGCGACTGTACAATGAAACTTCTTGTACCTAAGCCAGCCTGCATCCCTGATAAAAAGTGATGATGATCAGGTCGAAAGAAGAAGGAACTGGCTACCTAATCTCTGACTTCCAAAATACAACATTCTGTTCACATGGTGCTAACTGTGGTAGCTAGCCAGGCAGATTGAGATCGAGCCATACCACGACTTAAACTAGCAGTAAATTAAAACAAACCCCTTACTAGGAATCGAACCTGGAGTCTCTGGGTATGAGAAAGATGGTAGTGGAAAACATTGAGAGCGAACAAAAGGCTTCTTTGAACATCATCCAGAATTCAAGAAGAATCCTACAAAGTCTTGATAACACTACAAGTCGTACCTCTTTTCCCAGGGGTAGACCAGACCCCAGCGTAGCAGTCAGCCCCACGATCTTCGATATTAGAGCGCGATATGTTAGGTACTCTTTCAGGTGCACCCCGCGAAGTATGGTCTTCATCTCTGGGATACCCGATCCTGGAAAATGACAATTATACAAAGTTATATCTATCAGTAAGCTCACTTGCATTTTAATTAAATAAATAAATAAATATCATGATATGCTATATCTGAAGAAGATACGTCAACTGTGTGCTATATTTTAGCTGTGAGTGTAGAGTTTATGGGACTTAAAAATTACTACTAATGTGATGCTCCTTTGATTTGGCTCTATTGATATCTACGGAGCTGTGAGCGAAAACTTGCCCTCCTTGGTTGTTGATTGATGACCACATGGTCTGGGCAGGACTGATCCTTGACCACCTAATCTTACCTAAGATTTCCAAAGCTCATCATCATCATCATCAACAGCCCCCCTACATTCTACTGCTGGACTATGAGCCTCACTATAGTAGAGGGTTTTGCCATAATCCCCACGCTTGGCAGGCGGGTTGGAGATCGCAGTTTAATATATTGATGTTTTTCAGAGAGCGCTGCTGCCCGTTCTGTTTGATGTATAGTCCCAAAGTCGCCTCTTACGACACCAGCGGGAAGAGTAGGGGTTGGTGACAAATGTATTCTACTCTGCCGTCATCACACGGCTATCCAAACCTATATCCAAATTATTAAATCTATGCCACTTCCACTCTTATCAATCTGGATAACTCACCAATGCTCTGCGCCGCGACGATATGCACGAAGCCTGCCGCGAAGAGTATGAGGCACACCGGGAGCGACACCCACGCCACGTACTGGCTGAAGGTGGACGTGGCCAGGTCCCTGTACATCCACATCCGAGCTGCAACCAGGGCATAGCCGTGAAGTTAGAGTTAGGGCCGGATTAACCATCTCAGGGCCCCTAGGCACAGCTCGTTTCGTCTACATTACGAAATTGAATGAAGGTACCATCATTATCAACCAGCCTTACTTCAAGTGAAAAGACTTTCGCCACAATCGACAGGACGAAATGTCGGAGTCATTTAAATATGAAANCATGATTTGAAATAGTTACGTTTACTGTACACAAAGAATAGGAAAAACTTGAATATTTTTATAAAAGTAACATAAACATTAAAAAATAAAAATGTCCATATTGTACTGATTAAGAAGCATATTTAAATATTAACCCTTCTTATTTTTTTGATACAAAATCGTTTAAAACTTCTTGAAAATTAACCTTTTCTGATACATCCATCTTTAACAAATTCTTTTTTTCATTTTTTTATCGTGAGTGCTGGACCCCTGGTCATAGTGGGCCCCTAGGCACTTGGTCTAAAGTGCCTTATGGATAATACGGCACTGGTCAGTGTTTGGCTGTGGTCTCCTATAAACGCTGTAGGGCGCTTCACAATGCTTAAAGATGAACTACACTGAACTGTCCCACCAAACTCATTGACAGGGAGGCGCCACCATCGTTCAACTATACTCGTATAGTTTCCAACATGGCAAAAATCAGCGATCCGGAATTGATGGTGGCTCCTGTCAATGTCACGGGTGGGACAGTTCAGTGTATTGGGTCTATTGTATTTAAGAAGATTTTAGTTCTTAAGAGTTTCCGCTAGGGGCGCTGTACAATCCGTCATACATTTAATGACACATTTTTATGCAGTCGACATCGAATGCGTTTGACGTAAACTCACACTACGCCCCCTGTTGTGGTCTACTTCAGACGTTGACACCGGCATATGGCGTCGATAGGAACATTTGACGCTGACGTCATACGCCGCGTATAGTGTTTAATAGGAGACCATAGCCTGAATAGGCATTTACTGGGCTTGGTCGAGTAC